TATTGTAATATGGTCCGATTAATATGTGTTTATCTTTTGTCGATGAATATTTACAGATAACATGAAGCCGAATGCCAAAAGAAACACCAAAGAAATACGACTATATTTTTAGTTTTTTTTTTTTTTATTGTGGAATTATTGTATTTACTCACTTTTACACATTCTAAATTTGGAAATTTTTTATTTCGCACAAATATTCTTTTAAGTATCCGTTAAATAACTGTTAGTATACAAACGCGCTTTGCATATCTTAGCGACTGCTCTGCTGTCTTTTTAATAAGGACTTTTACTACTGCGCATCTGAACTGCTAATTATATATCACAACCTTTTTCGAATATTATTAACAAACATGAATTCAATATAGTTTGATATCTAAATAGTTAATATAATAATTAAAAAACAAGATTAAAAAGTTTAAATTGTTAATAATTTTTTTTATACTCTACATCGAATTGTTTGATTGTTCCATGTTATTACATCTCGCAGATTAATTATTAATTCAGTGACACACATGCATACTCCGTTTTTCAATAAAATTTTTACTTAATTCCTGGATAAATGTACTTCTTTAAATTGTAAAAAGATTAGACACAAAGCATTGGCGTATGAGATGAGAACAAAGCGGTACACTTATCTGATCTTCGATCCCTTACTTGGCCAATAAATTTCGCTCTCGTGTAAGCGACGGAATTTGCACTCTTAAAATGGGTCAGAGCCGAACAAGCCAAGATGCGCAAAAAAGAGTGCAAAGTGCTATCTTTAAATTTTATTCTTTTTCTGTAACGAAATTCACCATGCCATTGCCACGCTTAATATAAGTCATTGTAGAAAACAATAATCGTATCTTCAGCATCTTGAGAAACGAAAACACCTTATATTATGTCACATAATAATTTATTCTTATACTTTTTTTTTCTTTATATATATATATATATATATAATATGTTTAAGATATTAAAAATTCTCACTACCTTTTCAAAATACATCACTTAGCTTCTTTCACGAATCACTCAGTTATGGAGAATGCTTATCTTTTAATGATAGAATTATTTAATGAGATATATTATACTATGTTATCACATCGTGATTATTGCGACAGAGAAATTATTGGTGATGCAGGAATTAGTAACATCGCAAAACAACTTACTTGATCTAAAAAATCATATTGCATCTGATTGTGTCCTTTAGACGATATATGAATATACGTAATAAAATGCCTGTATATATTATTGTATAATAATAAAAATAATTCTGTGTGTGCGCGCGCGAACTGTAGTTAACGGCGAATGCTCAGTCCATTTTTATCCACGAATGCATATAAAGTCATATTGTTTTTAGTATTTGACAATAGTTCCTATTTAGTGTTCAATGCATATTACATAACGAGAAAATCTTTATTTTACATACGTGTATATTTCGATATTCAATACGCGTTAATGTACTTTCTAAAGAGATCCTAGATTAATGTACTCTCTAAAACTTTTTAACACTATTTTTGTTACCAAATCATTTTATTTTATTGTTTGATGGAGCACCGACGATAATACGCAAAATACGGAAAAGAGTTATGTATAACGCTGTATATATGCATATAAAAGAATCGATAATAGTCTATAAAATATATTTTGTAATTTTTAAAAATTTCGCGAACTGTATTAATAATACAAAACATATATATCCTTTGAATGTACCATCCATTCCCATATATCTTGTGCTACACACACCTTTTGCTAATTATATCGTAATATATCTTTTTACCGATTTTTCATTCTTGGAATTTCTAAAACTGCGTTTCTTGGAATCAGGAGAATATAATCAGGTGGCACAAGGTAAAATTTCAAGAAGCGCAAAAATTTGAAGCTTTAAAATCCTCAAAAATAGATTTTTTTGTTTTTTGCGAAGGAAGAGAAAAATGCATTATGCATCCCCATCGGCCGGTGGGATATACGAGACTCGCACCCGCTAAAAAACTCTCCCTGCAGGGCTAGACCTTTGGTCTCCCGCCAATACTTACACAAATTTAAATTCTGAGATATCGGGAACATGGTGGACAAAAAGAGGTAATACAAATAAAAGCATCAAATTAAAAATTTAAAAAAATTTAACTTTGTTTTCTTATCTTATTTACAGTATAAAGTGAAAATTACTATCTAAAAATTAATTGTTCTTACAACTCATTTTATAATTTTCACACAAATGATCGCTGTACAACTTATAAGTACCTAAGGAGAATAAAATATATTTAAATATATATGGAATATGTCCATATATATATATATATATATATATATATATATATATATATATATATATATATATATATATATATATATAATATAATATATATATATATATATATATATATATATATATATATATATATATATATATATATATATATATATATATATATATATATATATATATATATATATATATATATATATATATATATATATATATATATATATATATATATATATATATATATATATATATATATATATATATATATATATATATATATATATATATATATATATATATATATATATATATATATATATATATATATATATATATATATATATATATATATATATATATATATATATATATATATATATATATATATATATATATATATATATATATATATATATATATATATATATATATATATATATATATATATATATATTGTAATATAAAAGGAAACTAGGATCTCGTATATTACTTCCCCGATGTGTATTTATATAAATTTATATAAAATTTGTATTAATTCGCTCTTTTAGAGATTTTCGATAATCGCATTTTGTAAAGGGTCAAAGGCGTCAAAAGGTGTTGCGCGACAAAGAGCGAAACTCGTTCTCTGCTAAATCATCTGTGCCCTACGACCTCCGGAAAGTAAACTCGGTGCGCGTGATCGCTAAAGTAGGTCGGTTGAAATGGGTCGAAAATAAATTTTTCCGCTGACTATCGCGTCGTTTCGCCAAGCAAGTGTTTTCCTTATATACGTGATCCATCGACTCGTGTACGTATCTCGTCGATTTTCCTCTTATTTCGCATTCGCGAGATAATTGTAAGCGAAATTATTACGCAGCCCTTTCGGTGTAATGCCTTAAATTTCTATTCAATATAAAAATAAAAATTGCTTATTTTCCCTCTCGCTGTTATGATAGATATTAAATTCATTCAAATAAATTGCGCGTAAATGCAACAATTACACCATACTTTGTTGATATAATAATGTTAATAAGTAGTAATTAATGGAAGAATGAGCATTTTCAAGAAAGAATTTGCTTTAATCGTATATATAATTAAGTAATCTAAATTGAGTTACGTAACGTTGTATGTTATGTAATCTATTTCTTCGACTTCATATTATGTTGTGTGCATATTTATTTTATTTTTTTAGTTCAAAGTTTGGACATTTATATTTTTTCACTAATCCCAATATTTTTAATTTTATAAGTATATTGAATAGATGATAAAAATCTGAACTAAATGGGAAAATGAGAAATCTCAGATGCGGTGTCGATTTACCGCGCTGTGTCTGACTACAACTGTCATACGCTACTGACATTCTTTCGCTCCTACAAAACTCCTTACTACTTATTGTCTGACTCTATTTAGTAATAACTACTAATGACATAAAAAAAGATTAAGCACGCAAATGTAAAAAGGTAAGGGAATAATTTATATCAAATTTTCATTTTCCGGAGAATAATTATTTTCTTATAAATTTAGTTGTGAAAAGAGGTAAACATACACACACACACACACACACACACACACACAGTGGTTTTCATTCAGGCCACTTTAAATCCGCCACTATTCTGTTCGAGGATTGGTGAAGCTTTCACCATCGCCACCCTTGTCGGCCCCTCGTTGTAACGCTTATACGCGCTCGCGTCGTTCCGCGGCGTCTCGCTCGAGACGGGTGCGGGGGTGGGGCGTCGCGATGCCAGGCGTCGCTGGCGTCGAGCCGGCGACATATCATCCGAGTGCGGAGAGCGTGTGCCTTGTCGTCGTCGCCGTCCGGCCTGTGCGTCGTGCGTTGGAAAAAGAAAGTAAGAACGAGAAAAAAAAGCGTATTCTCCACCTGATCGCATCGCCGCCCGGAAGTCGTTCACCAGGAATCGAGAGGGACATCCCCACCGGCGCGCGCCATCGAAGGGAAACGTGTGTACGCGGGGCGAGACCCCAACGCGCGGTGGAATGCGCGTATATATAGGAAAAGGGAGCACTGGCCGTGCGGTTGTTCGAGCGAGACAGAGAGCGGTGCAGTGACATCGGAGTTGTCCGCCGTGAAACCGCGAAGGGAGGCGACGTCGAGGAGGGCGTCAGAAGCTCGACTCGCGAGGAAAGGAGATTCAAAAGAGGAACGAAATCTTCCCCGCGTCGCGTTGTCGTGTTGCTACGAGGGCGACAGGACTAAAGAGAGAAGCGCGAAGGGCTAAAGAAAGGGGAAGGAAAGCGGGATTGATCCGAGACTCGATGATATAGACGTCGTCTAGCAATTCTACGCTTCTCTCCTCTCGACATCCTCGTGTCGCTCGAGACCGCTCCGGGCGAGGAGTTTCGTCGCCAAGAATTCCCTTGAACCGAGGAAATCGAGTATGTCGGGAAGAGTGGCACGTTTCTCGTGGACGCCGTATATGTAGACGAAACGCGTAACACGCGCGCACGCACGCGTCGGACCCGTCTCTCCGCGAAAGTATCGCGCTCGCGCCCTCACTGCTGTCGACGCGCGTGTGTGTGTGTACGTGCGTATATATAAATATAATAGAACGCACCTAGATATCTATTTATAAGTTTACACGAGGCAAGAGAGGCCGCGCTGCGAGAGACCGAGATAGAAGAGGGAGAGGACGGGTATAGAAGAGACGGAGATAGGACGAGCAAGAAGAGGAACGGAAAGAGAAACCCGTGATAGAGAGAGAAGGAGAGAGATCTACGTAAAAGAAGAGCGAAGAGGAGTGGTGGCGGTGGTGGTGGTGGTGGTGGTGGTGGTAGCGGAGCGTGTGCGCCCGCGCGCGCTCGCTCGGTTTTCCCCACGTCTTCCGTCGTAGTTGTGTACCGGTCGTGCCTGGTGGTTGGTGGTGGTGATCCCGTAGTATTGTGGGTTGCCCTCTCGTGCCGTGTGTGTCCAGGGAAGAAGAAGCGGGGGCGGCAGCGATATAGCGTCCCACGAGGGCGGAGGTATCGCGAGGGGGTGATATACGCGTACGTGCGCATCGTGTGTCGGGGCGGCGGGAAGGCGCTCCTCGCCGAAGAAAAGGGTGCGTTGCGCCCTGCGTAAACCTCGGGAGTGGAGCCGGGCCGAGGCCGGCGCGACCGGGAGGCGGAAGAGGCAGAGGACGACGACGAGGAGGCGGAGGACGAGGAGGAGGAGGAAGGAAAGGGCGACTCTCGCACACGGCAGCGGTAGTGAGCGGATCTCGAGCGAGGCCGCGCGCGAGTGCGTGAACGCGCGGATATGACGAGCGGATACGCCCGGCGGCTCACGTGATACGCAACGCAATCCGCTGTTGTGCTCCGCCGTCGAGGAAGAGATATGTGGTAAGTGTGCTTTCCCTCCTCTCCACCTCCCCACCCCCCAATCTTTCCCGAGTGGAGTGATCGACGATAAGGCCGACGTTTCGGATCCTCTCCGGGACTTTTTGTGGCGCCAAAAATTGTCGGATATCGATTTCGGGTCGTTTTATCGCTAAAGATCGCTGAATATTGTTTTTAGATCCGTCCGAGGAAATTCGCTAACGGATATATATATCTAGTGTTGAAAAGGAAGATCTTTCTAGAATAGTGAACGTGCTCGACGGGTTTGTAAGGAAATCCAAAATGAATTTAAAAATCAGTGTGTCACGTTATCGATATGTTTCTGCGATCTTTTTCATTGGTGAAGAGATACGTTGGTGTTCCGTCTTTTGGTGATATTTAGAGATCGATAAGGGTCCTCATCGATCACATCCGCTCGATTCTTAAATCGTCCAGAGAGAATCTGTGAGATTATATAAGACGACTATATCCCGTCATCGCGTCTAATATTCTGCGAGGTCGTTTAACTTGGCGGATCTTTACATAAAATAGGTCGGTGATCCTCGAATTTCAACGTCGATTCTATTTTAACAAATATCGTTTCACGTCAAATAATTATCGGACCGTATTGAATAGCAATATAAGATTAAATCACAACAAATTAAAACACAATGTGTAAGCAAAAAGATAAAATCATTAAAAAATGATAGTCTAAATATAATATTTTTTCACTGTTGCATCTCAAATCTATATCAGTTATTCGTATATGAAGCAAAGATGATTATATAGATATAAATTGAAAATAATATACAAAGGATAGACAACAATACGAAAATCGTGGTACATCGATTATACGAGCCGATCATTAATCGGTCGACAGATTATTAGCGAAGACAGTCTAAAGTGAAAAACGAGTTCAGGACTATAGATCCGCTTCGCAGGCAACAAATGTTTTAAACGAAGGCGCATACAGCCATTTAATAAACAGTGTGGTAAAAAAAAAGCAGCCTAAAAGTTCCGACCCCGTTTCGAAGTTTCGCGCGCCAGTTTTATGGTAGACGTTTACAGTCGATCAGTACACCGCAAAATTTATACCGAGAAATACGCTTTTTAACAGGATTCTCTCGAGCTGCGCGTCCGCTGGCGCCAGCGAGACGATCGCTGTCCTCGTTGCGGGTTCGATTAATTCAAGTAAAAGTCTTAATCAATCGTAGAATGAAAATTTTTCGATGACGAAACGATATTGACACCAATTATATTCATTTCCTAGTTCATTGTGCTATTTTTCGATGCTCTCATTGTTATGGATTTTCGATTATCACATGCGTGAAACACACACACACACACACACACAAATCCGTGAAAATTAAAAAGAAATATATTCTAATTGAGAGACGGTGTCGTTAGATTATCCAGACAGGTTGTTGAATAAAAGAACCCAAATCATATCAAGATCGAGAAATAAGGTTTTTCTCTAATTTTCTTTAATTTTTTCTGGAAAAAAGAAAATGATATAATATTCAAAATGATAAGGATAATTTACGGCGTAGAAACTTTTATTAAAAAATCAACTACATTAAATTATATCAGAGAAAAAATGTAAAAAAATATAAATATATTATAGATGTCAAATATAAATATATATGTTATATTACATAATTTATGCGAAGATAATTGTGTGTGTTCAATTCAATAGTAACATAGAATGTCCAATTATTATTACGTAAACTTTTTGGAGTAACAAAGTACTTTCAAAGCGCGAAAGATTCGCCGTTTCGAACTTTAAACATCGATGCCGATTACGGAAAAGTCAAAATATCTTCAACTTTAAATGATTCATACTGGCGCACACTACCTTTTATACAAAAGTCATCTGCATTTATAGCCGTCGTGTTAAGCCGCACTGGATAATAAAGTAATCGTGGTACATCGATTATACGAGCCGATCATTAATCGGTCGACAGATTATTAGCGAAGACAGTCTAAAGTGAAAAACGAGTTCAGGACTATAGATCCGCTTCGCAGGCAACAAATGTTTTAAACGAAGGCGCATACAGCCATTTAATAAACAGTGTGGTAAAAAAAAAGCAGCCTAAAAGTTCCGACCCCGTTTCGAAGTTTCGCGCGCCAGTTTTATGGTAGACGTTTACAGTCGATCAGTACACCGCAAAATTTATACCGAGAAATACGCTTTTTAACAGGATTCTCTCGAGCTGCGCGTCCGCTGGCGCCAGCGAGACGATCGCTGTCCTCGTTGCGGGTTCGATTAATTCAAGTAAAAGTCTTAATCAATCGTAGAATGAAAATTTTTCGATGACGAAACGATATTGACACCAATTATATTCATTTCCTAGTTCATTGTGCTATTTTTCGATGCTCTCATTGTTATGGATTTTCGATTATCACATGCGTGAAACACACACACACACACACACACAAATCCGTGAAAATTAAAAAGAAATATATTCTAATTGAGAGACGGTGTCGTTAGATTATCCAGACAGGTTGTTGAATAAAAGAACCCAAATCATATCAAGATCGAGAAATAAGGTTTTTCTCTAATTTTCTTTAATTTTTTCTGGAAAAAAGAAAATGATATAATATTCAAAATGATAAGGATAATTTACGGCGTAGAAACTTTTATTAAAAAATCAACTACATTAAATTATATCAGAGAAAAAATGTAAAAAAATATAAATATATTATAGATGTCAAATATAAATATATATGTTATATTACATAATTTATGCGAAGATAATTGTGTGTGTTCAATTCAATAGTAACATAGAATGTCCAATTATTATTACGTAAACTTTTTGGAGTAACAAAGTACTTTCAAAGCGCGAAAGATTCGCCGTTTCGAACTTTAAACATCGATGCCGATTACGGAAAAGTCAAAATATCTTCAACTTTAAATGATTCATACTGGCGCACACTACCTTTTATACAAAAGTCATCTGCATTTATAGCCGTCGTGTTAAGCCGCACTGGATAATAAAGTAAGATCAGATATAATAAAGCTGTCTGCGTCGAGACAATTTCAAAGAAACTCAACGACGTTGTTGTTACGCCGTTTAACGCGACTATTAAAAGGAATAAAATCTTTTTTCTATCATTGAAAAAAGAACGACTCGCGAGCGCATTCGTCGAGTCGAGTGACCTTGCGCATTTAATCTCCCGGCGGAGAGATACACCGGACTGGATTAATAAATTTCATTAAATCGATCGGCGTCTTCGCGAGGATGTGGTTTCGAAACAAATTGACGAATTTCATTACGCTATCTCTCCATCAAATGCGATAATTCAACCTTACAGATATGCGGAGGGTCTGACGGAATCCCGTCTCTTTTTACTCAATCCTTCAGTAGTGATCGATGACGGTAGACAGACCCGTATCTCATAAATACGGGATACGGGATACCTCAAACTGTATTGCACTCCTCGCGTATCTTGAAGTAAGGTAGAAATCTCTTAAAAATCTCATATGCAATGATGAATCGATAATAGTGCTGTTTTTAGCTTTTTTTGATTGTCACATAATATTGATGCATATCAAATTAATATACGCGTGACGCTTGACAAGATACTAAATTTCTAAATAAATATTTCTCCCCGTAAAACACATATATATGTATAAAAATCTACGCACAGATAATATTTCAATAAATTTTTTTAAAAATAACACTAAGATAATATAAATATTAAACGAAAAATCTAATAATTAAATAATTAATTAAAAAAATCTATGCATAAATATATTCCTGCGTAAAAAATATTTAAAATATTTACTGCGTCAAATATTTCTGATTTTTATTTTTTAAATTCTGAAAAAATATTGAAAAATATTTTATTACTATTTCTTTTGATGGAAAAATCAGTATTAATATTCATAAATTAATTAATATTCGATTCTCCTTCTGTTTTTTTGAATTAATGTGTAGAAAGAAAATGAAGCGTCCCTTTGCGCCAATTCGCGATGAGCTGGCCGATGATGGTAGCGCTTATTTTGCGCTCTAATGACAGATACATTTACTCGGCTCGCGTTATGCGCCGTCGACACGTGTCGCGGAGAGAGAGGTACGCGCGCTATCAATATGCGGTTTGTTCGAACTACTACTACTATGTCCGATGCCAACAGAGCTTCTTTACATACTCGACGAGCATCGCGCGATACATTTTATGTGCCGGCACACACAAACTGCGTTTTGATTCATCGACTAAACTCCGTGCTGCCAGTATAGTTGCATCCGTTTTCCGATTAGCAATGCGGCGAAACGGACACGAGAGAAAACTCGGTCGCCTTCCCTCTTTCTCTCTCTCTCTCTCTATCCCTTTCTCTATCTCTCTCGTGGAAATGAGTTCGCATAATCACTAAGTTACAAAAACAGCGACGAAGTTTAGCTACGAATTTCTTGGCACGTAGGCCCCGCAGCTTTGGACGTCGGATAGCCAAGTTAAAACTCAATTTAACGAATTTCAAGTGAATCTTAAAATCTCTCGATCAATTTTAAGTAAATTAAGAATATATTTTGGAAGAATGAGAGCATTCGGAAGAAGAAGCTATGCGGATCTAATGATGCCGAAGAGATTACTTAAAGAGAAGGCTCTTTCGCTCAGCGAAAATAGATTGCTTTTAAAGCTCTGTTTCTTTCAGCTACTTAATGCAGATCTTACCGAGCTATTCGTGTGTACGTATTATGTATACACATCTACAGATCTACCTAATAATTATGAGTCAAAATATGTCGATAGTCTAGTAACTAGATACGCGCCTGTTCAGTTGCGATCGTTAGGTAAATTTAGCTTCGAGGTCAATCAACTGAGCTGTGAATTTGTGGATCCAGATTGGATCCGCCATGTCAACCGCATCCTTTCGCTAATTTAATCAAGGATCTTTTCATCGTCCGATTTTTTTTTTGTATTTCGTAACTTGTTGTCTCTCTTCGCGATAAAAATTATATTAATACGTAAAAACATGACGCGTGTCGCTAAATTTCGATTAAATTGGAGAAGAACAGATTCGT